ATTGTTGCACTTGTCTTAACTACTGATCTTGGTTATTGGATATTGAAATGATTGGTTTATTGTTTTAACTGCTTTTGTTCTGCTGTCTTAATGTGATTGAATTGATTGGATTGTTGAGAGTTAACATTTATGGAAATGCTAATTCGTATCCAATGTTAATAAAAAAAAAACGGGTTGGGTTGTTTCAAGCCTCTCGTGGACCGGCCTTCTAGAGTTGGATTTTGTATTTGTAGAACCCTCAGGAACCTCCTCATTATAACGTTGGACTCGTTCAAGAGCTAGCCTTCGAGAGAGGGTTTTAGAGTTTCCCGATCCTTCTTGAGATCGACCAGGCTGATTCTGCAGCTGGTTAGCTTTTTCTCCACTCTCTCTTGATGAGCCCCTCCTCATCAAAGCCTCCTTATGAAGACTCTCCATTCCGGAGTAGTGATTCTCCTCAATCTGAGGCAAATGGTTGCTCCATTGCTTTGAAGTTCTTGTATAGATTTCAGAACCAGAGTGATCGTCTCTTGATCTTGTTTCCTTGGGCTGATATTCTCTGGTAATTCTGTCCGATCTATGGTCTTTCCTCACCATAGAGGAATCAAAATGAAACCTTTTTCTGGGTTCATGTTCCTGACTTGGAAGGCGATCTTTGGTCTGTCCATAATCATGTTTCCTGGCCCCTTTCATCGCTTCGTACCTATGTCGAGTGTAGTTAGCCTCATCCTCACATCAATTTGGCGCATTCAACTTGTGTACTGGATGAACTGGTGACAAGCTTCTTGGTCTCTTGAGTTGGTATCGATGCTCTTCTCGTTGCTTAAACCTCTCGCTAACACCTGGAGATCTTATGGAATCTCTTTTCCTCTTATCTTCCTCAAGACGTACACCGTTTTTTGTTGGTTTATACCACGTTTGTTGGCTTCCCCAACCGGGCCTCTAGACCTTTTTGGACAATCCAATTCCTCATGAGTGAGAGCAAAGCACGTAAAATAATGCTTTTCTAATCTTTCATATTCAAATTCCACTGGCATCTCCGTTCCCGGTTTCAGCTGTACCGTTTTCTTCATGCTAAGTGGTTTGAAAGCGTCAAGTTGGACCTGCACTCTTCCTTCTTTGGTATCTTGATCCAATTACTTGCCCAACACGTTTCCTATAGCTTTGAGGTTGTTGAAAGTCCAAAACTGTGTTGGTAAGTCGTTTA